GCCACCACACCCAGCCAGTGTAACTAACTTTTCAAATACTTACTGAACACCTGCTGCCTGTGAGCTACTGTGCTGGAAATGCTGCCGGTACCCAAGACCTGGAGGGGGTACAACCAGCAGCAAACACTGGAGTGAGCGATCCCTGCGGGTGGAGGTCAGAACGAGGACCGTGCAGGCCGCTGGGGGAACAGCTGTGGGGCTCCGACTTGCTCTCGGAACCAGAGAAGGCCCTTCTGAAGAAGAGATGTTTAAAAGCGGAAGGAAAGAGAGGAGCGGGCCTTCTATCCACCGGGCCTTCTATCCACGGGGCCTTGGAGTGAAGTCTGTGACATCTGGGATGGACGCCTCACCTGGGACCTGAGCACAGATCAGAGCGTGTCCTGTAGTTGCCCGGTCAGCACTGTCGGTGGCCTCTGAGGGTGTGAAGGGGCCGCCATCAGAGCACGTTTTTCTACCTTAGTTCTGTACTTCTGGTGGGAGCAGGGCAGATGCCGCTCACAGGCGCTAACAGGGCTCCAGTACGGGCCCCAAGGTCAAGGCCTGCTACCAGGCCTCAAGCGGCCAGATTAGGAACTCCTACAAGCATCTGGAGAGGGGATCATTAGACAAGAGCAGCTGTGGGGCCCCAGGGACCTGGCGGTTTCATCTCAGGTCTGTCAGGGCCTGGGGCAGTACAGCCCTCCTTTCCCCTGACTCTTCCGGTAGTGCTGTGTGTGCTGTGTGTGAGGCCGGCCTACATTTGCTCCTGTGGGCGTCGGCTGTTGCCTGGAAGCAGGACTCATATTGGATTCTAGCGGGGCGCTCGGATTTGGGGTGGAGGGCAGAACTCCTGGATAGCAGCATGCGGCGATCCAAATAACATTCCAGCCTCCAAAATGGATGAGGAGAAAACAGGTTTAAGGAAAGTTTAAGTCACAGGTTACACACTCAAATACCATAGAGCCCAGGCAGGCAACAAATGATGGTAATCTTCTAGGTATCCTGCCACTGGGCATGGTGGCATTTGTGGCAAAATGAAAAGCGCTCTCCCCAACTAAAGATGGTCGTGCTCTTCTTTTCTACCTTCCTTCTTGCTTCCTTCCATCCAACCAGAGCACATCCACAGGCCAGATTCAGCTTAGCAGCTACCAAGTGCTCACCCTTAGTTTAGAACAGTGGTTCTCAAAAATGGGTGATCCCCAAACCAGTAGCATTGGCATCACCTGGGAACTTGTCAGAAGGACACATTCTTGGGCTCCACTCCAGTCCAACTGAATCAGAACTGCAGGGAAGAAAGGAGGAGCAGTGAAGCCGGGCACAGTGGCTCACGCCTGTAATCCCAACACTTTGAAAGACCGAGGCTGGTAGATCACTTGGGGTCAGGAGTTCGAGACCAGCCTGGCCAACATGGTGAAACCCCATCTCTACTAAAAATACAAAAATTAGCTGGGCGTGGTGGCGCACACCTGTAATCCCAGCTACTCGGGAGGCTGAGGCAGGAGAATCCTTAAACCTGGGAGGCGGAGGTTGCAGTGAGCCCAGATAACACCATTGCACTCCAGCCTGGGTGACAGAGTGAGACTCTGTCTCAAAAAAAGAGGAGAAGGGGGAGGAGAGAGGAGGGGAGGGGAGGGGAGGGGACTGCCTAGCAACTGTGTTTGAAAAGGGCTGCTCAGCATTTCTGATGCACGTTAAAGCTGGAGCCACTAGATTCAAACGTTGTGGCTGAATGGGTCACTGTCTGATCCATCACAATTTTGCATTTTTTTCTCATTACTTCATCTGTGCATATATTTATAGAGCATGCACAGTATACCAGGCATTGGGCCAGGCACTAGGAGTCAGGAGCAAACAAGACAGATGCAGGCCTTGCTCTCACAGATCTTACGCCCAGACAATTTACCTGGAATCCTGTCTTTAAATCTGGCCTCTTGTAGGATGTGTTTTTTTTGTGAGATCCCATATATTAGCTTACTTTACTACCACGCTTTGGGGAAACAGGCAGAACAGAGGTTACTTCTCCTCCATTAGAAGTTGAGTCACTTTGGCCCTGCACAGTTAAAACTCTGCCTAAAGTCACAGCGTCCAGTGGCCCTACACTGCCCACCTCAGCCGGAAGCACTTTCCAAGTAAGGCGCACTCCAGGGGCCCTTGCTCACTGTGCATTGGAACACACCCCTGCCGTCCTTGTTCTGCCACACAGGAGAGTCTCAGTGGGCCTCAGGCTGTCATTGCTCTGAAGCACAGGCCTGGCCTGGCTCCATCTCAGCCAAGGACAGATGTCCTCAGACACACGCAGTCACCTAATCACCCTCATACCTGGGAGCACTGTTGAACATATCTGAAGACTTGATAGAACGTTCAGCCAGGCCGTCAGCTTCTTTAAGTGGAATGTATTGAGGATTTCCACCAGTAGCAAGTCTCTTGGCCTAAATGAATATTAGCAAAATAGAGAAAACAACTGGCAGGTGGGCTGAGATCTCCAGAGCGCTTGTGCACTGTTTCACATGCCTTCTCCTTTTTAATGTCCCCGTCCCCTCCTATTAATGCCACCCCCATTCCCTTCAGTCTGGCGCACAAAGGGAACTCCACGTGGGAGTCAAAGTGTGACGTGATTGGGACAAGGAAGGAGTGGATCGGCCGTAGCTCCCGTAAGCACTGCTCCAAAACCTCGTTCATTTGGCCCTGGCCGGCCAAGTGCGGTGGAACTCTCTGAGTTAACAAATGCCTCCCACTTGTAGCTCAGGAGTATAAAGGCTGAGTCGGAGTTGACTATCACACGCCTGCTCTGACTGGTGGGCTGAGCCCCTTTGTCGAGCATCACCAGCTCTGCAAAGGGCGCACATAAAGGAACCGAGCCGGCGAGATTGATGGCGCCGTGTGACAGGTTCCCTCCCACAGACCAGAGAAGAGACACAATCTGCTAGAAGTGACTTTTCAAATTATCTGCAGAAAACATTAGTGGATATTTTCCCATCTGCATGCCTCTGGGCCTTATTGAGTCATAAAAAGTAAATGATTTCCCTGAATGCTTTGACAAACCTGATAGTTCCAAGCCATTTTCTAGCTGATTGATTTGCCATTATGCATCTGAGTGTCTCGAGGATAAAAGCTGGCTGGCAAAGAGCACTGGTGAGAGAACCACTGGCAGCTTTTGCAGGAGGAAGCCGGGGCTGAGGAAAACAAACAAGGGCCAAGGCTTGGTTGGTGAGGAGGAGCTAAAAGCCAGGTGAGAAAGGATTCTCAGAAGAGGTGGTTGGCGACACAGTTGGAGGCAGGCACAGACTCATGGGGAGGGCAGGAGGCGGCAAAATTAAAACAGAAAAAGTGGCTGGACAGGGTGGCTCATGCCTGTAATCCCAGCAGTTTGGGAGGCCAAGTCAGGTGGATCACCTGAGGTCAGGAGTTCGAGACCAGCCTGGCCAACATGATGAAACCACATCTCTACTAAAGATACAAAAATTAGCTGGGCGTGGTGGTGCACGCCTGTAATCCCAGCTACTCGGGAGGCTGAGGCAGGAGAATTGCTTGAACCTGGGAGGCGGAGGTTGCAGTGAGCGGAGATCGCGCCATTGCACTCCAGCCTGGGCAACAGAGCAAGACTCCGTCTCAAAAATAAAATAAATAAAACAGAAAAAGTGAAAACAAGCAACTTGTTCTCTGCTCGCCCTAGGCCAAGGTCAGCAGAGCACAAAAAAGTACGACCAAAGGCTAAAAATAGGAGGCTAACCGCTAAGGACAGAGGATTGGGGCCTTCGAAGATGGATCTGTAGAATGGTGGAGAGGCCTGCAGCGGTGACCTCAGGGCCAGCTGTCACCAAGATCCAGAGTTGGCCCTGATTCAGAAGGAAGAGCGCATCAATCCTTCCTCAACTTCTGTGCCTTTTCTGGCAGCTGCTTGGTCCTGGGAGAGGTGGGTTCTGTGCCAACCTCCTGAGCTGCGCTGGATCTAATGAGAACGGGGAGATGTGGCACCTGCGCTGCTGCAGGAGGGAGGCAGCCAAGACACTGAGCGCTCACTGTGTCATTCATGCCCACGCTTCGTTATCCTGGACCGACAGAGTCACAGTTGCAACCTTTCCCAAAGGTGACAGAAGGGGCCATGCCCTCTGCTGGGGACTCCAGTCCCCGGGCGCTGGGTGGCTTTGTGAGCACCGCCTGGCCCATCCCAAGACCCCCACTCAAGGGAAAGACAGGGACTGAAAGGGCCTTCCCCTCCTTCCCCTATAGAGGGATAGGAGTAGTTGTTACTAACACCGCTGATTTGTGGAAGGTCTGTGAAAGGTCTAGAGTGAGCACAGCCACTCTTTGCAGCAAAGCCGAAGTGCTGAGGACAGAGAAGCACCATGGCCAGCCAGACCATCACATCCTCCCTGTGTAGCGCCTGTTCTGAGCACGAGCAAGACAAACGAAACACAGCCCACTCCTCAAGAAAAAGCGGAAACGTTAAGTGCAAAAGGTGGTATGCAAGATCAAGACGAATGCTTAGGGACTGGGGAGCAAAGGAATGACAGGGGCAAGCAAGGCTCCTCAGGAAGCCTTCCACAAGGGGACATCTGTGACTGCTGAGAACGTTATAGACACGGCCTGGTGCATCTCTGTTGTAGCACATCCAGCTTGTACTGGGGCTGTTTACGGATGAAGTTCTCTCCCCCACACCAGGTGATGGCATCCCAGCAGGAAGTTCTGAGGCTTGTTGCCCTGTGTTCCCCACAACATCCAGCTCAAGGCTTTGCATACGTAACTGCTCAATAAATGTGGAATGGGATCGAGCCTGGAAAATGGAACTTTCTCAAAGCATCCTCCACTAGCTAGTAAAAAATCCCAGGGGAGTGACGGCCCTGGCCTCTACCCTGGATCTCCTCCTGCTCTGTCTTCCGGTCCCCAAGAGCAGGCCTTGCCTTGGAGCTTGGGCTCTGGTCCCAGTTCTTGTCACCTCTTAGCCTTGTTACCCTGCACCCCACAATTTAGACCATGACTATTTTACAGATGAACTGAAGAGCTTTCTATTCCATTTGTAGGCACAAAACGAGCTGATGAATACAGGCTTGTACCTGGTGCTGCTGCTTCACCTCTATGAGCAGAGGTTTGCAGAACTCATGAGGCTCAATCACAACCAGGTGGAAAGAGAGAGGGTAAGTCTGGCTGTGACCCAGAGCTGCCCGGTGGCAGCCCTGAAAACCCTGCAGTGCTGTTTATCAGATGTGCAAGCTGTTGAGGTCCTCAGTCACTTGGGAGGATATGGGACTGTCATTGTTAGGACTAAGATTTAGCAGCTGCTAAATGTATATACGGTGACCCTCTGGCTGAAAAGTAAGTGATGATCACATAATTGCTTATTATTGAACATGAGTAGTAATTAAATGGTCATCAATGGTCATATAAGTGAGTGAGTCTCTAGGGATATTTGCCCCCCAAAACTAGAGGACAGCAAGGATGCAGGGGCTGGTTCTGTATTATGTGTGGGCACCCCCAATGCCTGAACATGGAGGACCTGTGAAAAAGAGGGACCTGGCTAGGTGTGATGGCTCATGCCTATAATCCCAGTGCTTTGCGAGGCCGAACTAGGAGGATCACTTGAGGCCAGGAATTTGAGACCAGCCTGGGCAACACAGCGAGACCCCATCTCTACAAAAATGAAAATATATATTTAAAAAAAAAAGAAAGAAAAAGAGGAATCTTCCCCACAAGAGACTGCCTGGGCCCCCAGGACATGTTATGCCAGCGTACGTACCCATTGAAAGAGACAGGCTGCCAAGAAATAAAGATGATGATAGTGGCACCATTTGTCATTAGAGAAGATGATATATTTATCAAGAGTGATCATCTGTGGCTGCCCTTTCTTCAGCAGAACTGGGGCTCTCCAGGAGACCCCATGGTGTGCAGGGAGAAGCCTAGTCCTCCTCCTAACTGGAGCCTGGCCTTAACAAAGTCAACCCAAATGAGGGAGTTGGACGGGTCCACCTCTGCAGTGTCTTAGTACACTTGGTCATTGTCAGATCAGCACCTTGAGCCTCAAGGGACTTCCCGCTTTGTCAAATGCCTCTCTGTGCCTGGCCAGGCAGGGGCACTGTGAGGACAGGTTACCACCCTTACCCCTAAGGTCATGCCAGGGGCTGGTCTGCTGGCAGTGTTTTGGATCCCAGGATCCTCAAGGGGTACTTTGAGCCTTGGCTCTTGACCTCTGGCTTAGCTCTGGACCTTGAGGCTTGGCTCTGGACCTCTGCTCATGTCAGAAGGTCATGACTAGAAAGTGAGCCAGTGTGGCAGTAGACAAGCCAGATGGTGCCACAAGGCAGTTTTAATGACACTGCCACCCCATCCTGTACACCTTTCTTTCTTTTTATTTTCTTCTTTCCTCTCTTCCTCTCTCTCTCACTTTCTCCCCAGTCACTTCACATGGACAAGAGACACCTGCCATATGTCATTCTACATGTAATTCCTTACATGGCTGCAGACTCTGTATGACCATGGACTGTTTCCATCCGTTTAGAGCCATCCCTATTTAAAATGCTAGGGCCAGGCGCGGTGGCTCACGCCTGTAATCCCAGCAATTTGGGAGGTCGAGCTGGGTGGATCACTTGAGGTCAGGAATTTGAGACCCACCTGGCCAACATGGTGAAACCCTGTCTCTATAAGCCTTTTTACGCAGTCAAAAGGCAAGCAAGTGAATTAAATGTGGCTTAGCTAGAAACGCTTCAGGACGAATGCGTAAAACAGGAATTGAATGCAATTCACTCCGGTGACGCCAGAAGCCTCGGAAGGAACCACCAAAGATGTGAAGGACACATGGAACTGAAGAGAGTTCCCTGAACACACGGGTGTAAAACTAGGGGCAGGGCAGGCCCGAGTGAGAGCTGACGATTTCCTCTGACGAAGACAGCGATTTAGACATTTAGCTCAGACATTCTGTGGGTCTATCAGTGCACGTGGTGCGAGTGGTATGTAGCTTTGCTTTAATTGTCGAGCTAGGCTTTCTTTCTTAAAGTGCGTCAGTTCGGCTTTGCGCGAGCTATAGGCTGAGCGCATAGAGTGTGCTATGATCTCGCTTCGACTGAGTGCTATGAGCTGCACTCCGCTATATCATTAGTGCGCGCCAGATATTCAGAGGTGAGCCACCCGATATGGTGCTCAACCCCTAGTGCTTTCGAGTTACACGGAGCAAAATAAGAAAGGTTCGTTAAAAAGATGTGGCAATCATGAAATAAGGTTAACAGAAATGTTAAGCAAAGGATCATTTCCTGCTATCTAGTACTTTTCTATTTTTTAAAAAAAGTCACATATTGTCCTCTGAGAAGATTTATGTTCACGAGTAACAACACTAGTGAGAAGTGTTACGAAGGACAGGCCCTGGGTCAAAATGAGGTGAGATTTACCTTTGAGAGCATGTGCTTGGCAGAGCCCAGCGCTCGAATTTTGCTTAACATTGAGAGCTCAGGTAGTCGTGAGAGGGGAAGAGAATGTAAGCCAGCACACAAAGAAAAATCTAGGGTTTGAACGTGCATGACTGCGAGACTTTGAGATTTGTGTTCTATATATATCTTAGTTTATATATTATATATATATATAATATTAGTATATTATATATAATGAAGAGACAGAAGAGACAATGGAAAACAGATCTGCGATTCTGGTCACCCAGGCGTGGAGGTGGTGGTGACCACAATCCTCAGCTCACTGCAACCCTCTGTCTTCTGGGTTCAAGTGGATTCTCCTGCCTCCACCTCCGAATAGGCTGGATTACAGGTGGTGGTGCCACCACAAACAGCTAATTTTTTCTGTATTTTAGTAGAGACGAGT